GTAAACTGTTTTTATATTTTTGTCACATAGTTGAAAACCTTTTGGGTCTCGGTCCGGAAAAACCCGACACATTACGTGCGGCATGAAAAAATATTAATAAAATTAAAAAGGCTGAAGAGAGGGAGCAAAATCGGATGCAAATKGTGGCTCACTGTACGGTAAGAATGATTATTTTTTTCTGTTTGTTGTCTTCTGGCTGATGTTGAGTGTTGAACTGTGGTCGTAGCACAGCAGGCTTTGCGCTTCGGGTAGATTCTCGCGCCAGGCGCGCACCCTCGCCAGCTGGGAAGGTGTTAATTTATGTCAACCCCTTTGGACATTTACCTGTCTAATGAGCCTCAAAAATCTATATTTTTTGCTAAAAATCTGTAGGCTACCATTTGTGCCCRCTCGTGGGGGTGGGGTGGGGGTCTGTAAGTAGAGATGACAGTGCCTGCTGTAACGCAAGAGCAAAGGAGAGCAGAAAAAGTGGATAACATAATGTTTATTGTTTTTTTTAAAAATTTATTTATGTATTTTAATGTCCGTTCAATGCCGCGTTCAACTAAATAGACAACAACTAACCAGACTTCATTATCTCATTTGGGAGATGTCTGTAAATTTCAGGAAAATCTCAGGCTTTGGTTATCCTGTGCGAACGCGTCACATAAAACAATGACACCCCACCCCACTACTTATTTAGACAGTTTTCTAACTCATTCTCCATTTAATGTATAATTTCCCTGCATCTAAAAATCATTTCTGATCCCACAGAGAGGACAATCTGAGGAGAATCTCACAYGCTGGACACATTTAYATCTRTTTTACATATTTAAATGGAGGCGTGTCAGGGGAGGTTTCTCACGTGCGCTCAGTTCCACGTTCATTGGGATGTATAAAGGAAACATGCAGGAACATGCGTACGCATGGATTTATACATCTGAATAGTTTGGTGCGGCGCACATTTCTAAATTTGTCCGTACGTCAACTTTTAGTGTGAAAGCYGCGCAATCCTTTATGCATGAGGCCCCAGCTTTCCTAACAGTAATATTTATGCTTYTGCTGCTGAGCCAGAAGGAGCTTTGAAATAAAAAAAACTTAAATCTTAAATAAAAGTTYMTGTAACTCATTTTCTTTCCTCCTCTTCACGACCCTGACCCACAGACCCCTCCCGACA